CATTTGACTGCTCTTAAGGCTTCAGTGACCACAGGGATGATTTCAGATTTCGCTTTCCAAATCTTTCGTATTTTCATCCTCAGTTCTTGATGTCAGTAATTTTTCTCTCCCTTATAAACGACGATGCCGAGTTTGTTATATTGGTGATTTGTGCCCGCTTTTCCGCTGTCTTTCAACTCCATATCTGGCCTATGAGTCGATATTTTTTTCTTAGTTCGTATGGAGAAGTCCAGGAATATCTTCACTTGCTCTGTCTGTTCCACCGCCGCTTTCGGGCCGATGATTCCACAATCGCTTTGCCATTGGTTAGTCGAAACGCTTCCACAAATATCTATCCTTGCAACATTTATGTGCCTTTCTTCCTATTCCTGATTCGCCAGCGTTTCGCAGCCGGAAATTATATGGGTCACCGCCGCATTCTTTCTTAGCATGCTCTGTAATTTGCTTCTGGCCCGGTATGCAGTGTCGCTGTGTGCGGGTTCATTTTCAGTGTTCGGCCTTGGGTGGCTTTTAGAATAGCTTCCGTTTCGTAATGAAGTTTACTTCTTGATAGCCTGTTCAAAGTCTGGTAGAAGTCTGTTTTCACTGAGTGGGCGAATATGCTATCTCTGAATCTCTTTATTTTTCCAACCATTGTATCAGATGTTCTCTACATTTTCCTGATGATCTTATGCGCTTCTAACTCTTTGCTGTTCTAACTTGCACACTCCATTAACTTTTACTGCCTTCGGTTCACTGCCATAAGTAGATGTTCTTTCAGACATGAAGTTTCTACTTCTAGGGTATATTTGATATTATGAATTCCTCTTCTTTTTTGCGTGGCACAAGCAATCTGTCTGTATCTGCTTTTAGATGTTCTGTTTGCTATACATGTTACAGATGATATCTTGTGTCTTTCTAGCAGGTTCCCGCCTTTCCACTTGCACGCGTTTGAACTGTGTCTCCTGTATGTTAGCACTGTTACCGCATACTGGTTTATTTCCGCAGTTTTTTCTTCTCGTATGACTTACTCTTCAGGTTTCTGCAGATTCGTATCTCATATTTCATTTTTATAGTTAACTTCATTTTTTCATTTAATATGCTGTCTAGTTATAGCACGTTGAATTCTTGTACGACTATCCTTCTTCCTAAATGTTTATATCGCCAGTCGAATGCGTTACTTTATTGTTTTTCCAGGTCGTTTTCTCTTTAATCTATCTTTGTCACATTTATTCAAACTAAATTCCATCTTGATATCTTCCGAAAATATTTCTGCGCTTTAGATCATATTATCCAGCTCTTCTACTAGCCTCGCATTCAACTTCAGACCATTTATCTTCAACCGTTCTGATATTACTCTCCCATCTTTTTGATTTTTTTCTTTCCTGGTTTCATTCAGCAAGTATTTGAGCGGATTTAATGCCAGCCAAAATAGAAGAGGCATGACTGAATCTCGCTGGATGTTTCTTAGCTTGATGTTCACCGATCCTAGGGCTACTTTATCGCATAGCAATGTTGTTCATCATGTTTCGAAGAACTTTGTTAATCCATTGTTGTGGTTATTAAGTTTCCAGTATTTGTTGGCAGCCTGCTCAACCTTTTGCAGCCCAGGCGTAGGAACATTTCCATTGTGATACACCACATTGGGTAGATAGTTGATGGTTGGTTACACAGATATATTTATATATTGCATATACATATGGTTTACATTACTGATTTATTGTCATTATTTCGTCTAGCTTTTACTGATTTATTATATGATAATATTCATTGCTTTTGTCTTAGGTTCGGTGATTGTTTCGCTGAATTGAAGGCTGACGTGTCAGACGTCATTTTTAACGAGCTGGCCTTTTTCCGTGTGTTGGAGAACTTGGAGCACGAACGAGCCGACGCTGTAAGTGCAACTACGGATGCGGACGTGCCCACCACTGTTGTACGTACGTTGTAATGGATAAAAGGAAAGTTTTAAACAGTTTTCTGTGACAGACAGTTTCGTCCGAAGACTCAAGACCTAAGGGAGGAATTTGCCGAATATTCGAAAGTTCGACGACGGGTTCTACCCCTCGTTCAACGGTGATTTTTCTTCACTCGTGCTAAGACAATGTTTCGTGGTTTGTTTTTAAACCTTTTGTTTTTTCAGCATATCGGGGCTTTCAGTGACAGAACGGATGAGGCCCTGACGGAAGCCGCGAATTTAAAGAGCGGTCGCAGACAAGCAACGATCGAGTCGTCGTCCAGCACCACTACGGCGGTGTTGAAAGAAACGTATGCAGACGATATTGTTTGTTTTATTTCTAGATAGGTTAAATTTCTGTCGGCCTGGATTAATGTTGCTAAGTTTAGTGCACATTCAAAACCTTGTTTGTCAAGTAAATAAGCGCTTCATTTTAGTTAGATCAGTTTTTATTAAACTTTCGAAATTTGCATAGTATTCCCTTTTTCGCATACAGTGCACTGGTTACGGGTTTGAAAATGCCGAAGATTTTGTAGACATACGGAAATCATAACAATTGAAGAATATTTAATCTGCTACAATTTTTATGCAGTTGTTTCAACTCTTACGCCGTCGTGGAGTATGATGTAATATGACAATGAAACAGAGGTAGTTTACTGCCAACATTTTGATTTACAGCACCGTTGTTTTTCAGATGTCATGTAATATTA